ACACTTGGCATATCACACCATGTCTCATGTCCTCATGCCCATCAACAGAATGGCTCCGCTGAACGGAAGCACAGACACATAGTTGAGGTCGGGCTAGCTCTCCTGGCAGGAGCCTCCATGCCCCTCAAATTTTGGGATGAGGCATTTCTTACTGCTGTTCACATCATTAATATGCTTTCAAGTCGAGTCATCAATAATCAAACTCCAGTAGAAAGGCTTCTTCACATCAAACCAGACTATAAATCTCTTCGCGTGTTTGGGTGTGCTTGTTGGCCCAATCTTCGCCCATACAACAAAAGAAAACTCATGCTTCGCTCAAAACAATGTGCTTTTCTAGGATATAGCCCTCAACACAAAGGTGTCAAGTGTTTAGATATTTCCACTGGCCTTGTCTATATATCCCGTGACGTCATTTTTGACGAAACACAATTTCCTTTCGCCACCCTTCACCCAAATGCCGGTGCTCGCCTCCGAGAAGAAATTCTCCTCTTACCTACTCATCTTACCACCTTTGATCAAGGGGGTCCGAATTCTGATGATCAAATGTTGACTAATCCTGCTACTAATGGTGTGCATGAGTTTTCTAATGATGTTCCAGGAGATAACAGCGAAAATAATGAAGAAATCAGTGAAAAAAACGCGCCGGCAGGTCCATATCGCATGTGTCCGCATCTAGGAGGCAAATCTTCCTTGGGATCGGCTCCACAGCAGCAGTTCAGTCGATCTTCCTCGGTATCGGCGCCGGCAGACGCGCCAGATGCGCAAGAGACAGCGCCAGCCGACCGTGCGGCTGTCTCCAGTCCAACGCACGCCGCGCGTCACGCTCCAACTGGCGGCGGCCCCAGCGCCTCTCCGCGCCAACCCCCGCCCGACACGTGGCAGAACACGGTTCGCCAGGACGGCACGCGCTTCCGTGACCAACCGGTCACGTACAAGCGGCGCGATCAGGTTCGCCGGCCCGACACTGGGTCCGGATCTGCTGCGGGCCCAGGCGCGGACTCCTGTGCACCCACGCGCGCGCCGAAGACTGGCGTCCGCCCCGAGGCTGATCCGCCATCATCCACTAATGATGAGGCCCCGGGATCTTCTGCGCCTACAGAACATGCTGCACCTGATCAAACTGCCACAGAAGATCCGGCGGGAGCATATTCTGCTACAGGAGCTTCTGTTTCGGGATTTTCTGTGGCTGAGAATCCTGATGCTGCACCGTCACGACGTACACGACTACATCATGGGGTAATACATCCTGTTAATTATAAACACATAACCAAATACGGTATGGTTTGTTCTACAGGTGAACCAGGTGAACCCCAGACGCTCCAGGAAGCACTTGGTGATGAAAGATGGAAAAATGCTATGAATGAAGAATACATGGCACTCAAGAAAAATAAAACTTGGCATTTGGTTTCCCCACAGCAAGATAAAAATTTAATTGACTGCAAGTGGGTATTCAGAATAAAGAGGAAATCTAATGGAACTATTGATCGCTACAAAGCTAGGCTCGTTGCAAAGGGTTTTAAACAACGGTATGACATAGATTATGAGGACACATTTAGTCCAGTCGTTAAAGCTGCCACTATCCGTCTTGTTTTGTCTATTGCTGTTTCCAGGGGATGGAATCTCAGGCAACTTGATGTTCAGAACGCGTTTCTTCATGGTGTTCTGGAAGAGGAGGTATATATGAAACAACCTCCTGGGTTTATAAGTAAAAGTGCACCCTCTCATATCTGCAAGTTGGACAAAGCACTTTATGATTTGAAACAGGCACCAAGAGCATGGTACTCCCGTCTCTGTCACAAAATGCAAACACTTGGTTTTGTCCCTTCAAAGTCTAACACCTCTCTGTTCATCTACAACAAGTTCAATACATGCATGTTTGTCTTGATATATGTTGATGATATTATTGTGACAAGCTCATCTGATGAAGCTATCACAGGGTTGTTAAAAGATTTGAGTGCAGACTTTGCCTTGAAGGATCTTGGAGACTTGCATTATTTTCTTGGGATTGAAGTAAAGAGGCACAAGGATGGACTTCATCTCTCTCAAGAAAAGTATGTAGTTGACTTGGTAAGAAAAGCTGGTCTACAGGGTTGCAAACCTACACCTACTCCACTGTCCAGTTTAGAAAAGTTATCTCTCACACAAGGAACTCTCTTGAATCAAGAGGATAGCACAAAATACAGAAGCTTGGTAGGAGCTCTTCAATATCTTACTCTTACTAGGCCTGATATTTCTTTTGCTGTCAACAAAGTGTGTCAGTTCCCCCATGCACCCACAACTGTTCATTTGACTGCTGCCAAACGGATAGTTAGATATGTCAAAAACACATTAAGCATGGGTCTCAATTTTAGCAAATCATCCTCTACACTTGTCAGTGCATTCTCTGATTCTGATTGGGCAGGCTGTCTTGATGATAGACGCTCTACTGGTGGCTTTGCTATTTTCTTTGGACCCAACTTAATTTCATGGTGTGCTCGTAAGCAAGCTACAGTCTCCAGATCTAGTACAGAGGCAGAATATAAAGCATTGGCAAATGCCACAGCTGAAATCATATGGGTTCAGTCCATGCTCAAGGAACTTGATATAAAAATTAAACAAGCTCCATGTTTGTGGTGTGATAACCTTGGTGCCACCTATCTCTCAGCTAATCCAGTGTTTCATGTCAGGACCAAACACATTGAGATAGATTTTCACTTTGTTAGAGAGAGGGTGGCTCATAAGCAACTTGACATTCGTTTTGTGCACTCCAGTGATCAAATTGCAGATGGATTCACAAAGGCACTGCCGGTCAAGAGTTTTGAAAATTTCAAGTATAATCTCAACTTAATGGAGTTGTGATTAAGGGAGGGTGTTAAACATGCAACATGTCACGATAGGTGACCGGCGCATCTCATAGGATATAGTTGAGATAGTTAGGTTGTTGGAGTCTTATGATTATCTCATGTAACCTCTTATCTCTATCTCCTGTCTTGATCTTCAAGAATGTAATCCAAACCGCATGTATGCGCTGTTATGGGAGGTGCGCCCCATCTACATAACACGAAGCCGTCGGCCTGAGAAGGCAAGACGTTTCGCTAGTTCACACATGGTCAAGTGATACTTGTTAGTGATAAATCTTGGAGTTACAAGGGTAGAATACAATACACTGTTGGAGCTGTCTCTTTTGGCGAAACTTGGTGAAACCAGCGTATAAAATTCAGTTGATATTGATGAGCAGTATTTTTATTCTTGCGCTCCTGGTAAGCTGGAGGTTTACCATCAAAATCAGTACATTCACCCGCCAATAAATAAATAAAAATAAAATCAGTATGTTGGAATAACAACGACTCCTTTTACTTTAACTTTGTGAGCTTCCCTTCAAGGCAACGGCGCTTTTCCTGGTATATATACCAACAAGTCTACTGTCTTGCTGTCATTGTCATTTCATTGCTACTGGTATTGTTTTGATCTCTCAGTGAGTGCCGTTCCTTGTATGGCCCAGCGGCCAGCGGCTTGGCACGGGCAGTTTATGGGCAAAATGCCAATGGCGGGCGACCTCCATGGAGGTTGTTTTAAAAAATAAATCAAAAAACATATTTTAATATTTTAAAAAATTCTGAAAACAATCATACATGTTTACATGGATGTATTCTACATGTGTGTAAATTGAAGAAGAAATACTGTTGATTTTTTTGGGTGGAAGTGAGGTCGCCGACGAGAGAGAGGAGGCAGATTTTTCTGGAGAACTCTACTTTATCCATTCCCCTTCCACACAATGTATACACCTACACCTTTTACAATGTCCACCCTCTACTATCCTATCCATACAACTAAGTCCTACCAACACTCCCCCTCAAGATGGGGCAAAGATGTCAATAAGCCCCATCTTGTTACATGTTCTTGCAAAAGATACAACACTAACACCTTTAGTTAATACATCCGCAAGTTGTTCACCAGATTTCACAAAACTAATTTAAAGTGTTCCTTCATCTAACTTCTCCCTCAGGAAGTGTCGATCAATTCCAATATATTTAGTCCTATCATGTTGCACTGGATTGTTCACTATATTTATAGTGGCCTGATTATCACAGTACAGCTGAAGTGGTGCCCCTTTATACAA